ACCATTTTTGTTTTGGTGGCTCTAAGTGAGCCATGAGGAGAGCTTTCATGGGACACTACACTGTTTCCCCATGAGCTTGAGAAAATCTGCCACTTCCCCCCCTTTCAGGCTTCTCGGATTTTGCAAAACACAAGTTTATATTAAAGTATTTATCTCTTTTTGCATTCCATCTCTCTCTTTTGAGAGTGACAGCAAGAATAGCTTTCTCTGGCTGCTCAGTTTTTTGCCTAGTTCTACTATTTATTTACTAAATTTATATGCCACCCACCTATCCAAAACAACTCTCAGTGGTTTACAATACAATAAAAACTCACATACACAAACATTAAACTTACAAGAATTAATTGAAACTAGGCAGCAAATTATAGGGACACGGTGGCTTAGTGGCTAAGGTGCTGAGCTTGTCAGTCAAAAGTTTGGCAGTTCAACGGTTCAAATCCCTAGTACCGCATAATGGAGTGAGCTCTTGTTACTTATCCCAACTTCCACCAACCTAGCTGTTCAAAAGCATGTAAAAATACAAGTAGAAAAATAGGGACCACTTTGGTGGGAAAGTAACAGCACTCCATGCGTCAGTCATGAAGATGTCTTCGGGCAGCACTGACTCTTCAGCTTAGAAACGGAGAGGAGCAGCGTCCCTAGAGTCAGAAATGACTAGCACGCATGTGCAGGGGAACCTTTACCTTTTACCCTTTAGGCACCAAATATATGAGCAGTGTGATCTTCTCTCCACCAGCCACCTCCAGCAAAAGGTGCCCCAATTGGCAGAGCTCTTTCCAGAAGTCCAAGAGGATAGAGGCAGATCTCAATTCCAGGTGAATGATATTCCAAAGGATGGCCACAGCAGAAAAGGTTCTTCTAGACCCCACCCGGGAGAATTCCTTGACCAACAGGGTCCACAGTATGCCCTCTCTGCTGGAGCAAGTAAGGCAGGTCAATCTTACAGAGGGAAACAGTTTCTTGGTTTATTATCTGCATTCACAGACACTGCTATATTGTTCTCTTATGCCACAGCCATTTCTAGTGGGATCTGTTGCTGCATCTCTCTTTACCTCTTCAGTTTTCAGTTGCTCATGTTTTCTTCAGACATGTGCCAACAAATTTTGCCATTTTTGTTTCATGTGCTCCCTGTCTGGTCTCAGCAGGTTAGTAGTGAAGTAACAATTGGCACTGTTTAATTTATGCCCCACCTTTTTGCTCAAAGTAGCTTATGACTATTACAAATAGAAAGTACAAAATGTAAGAATACTGTTTTATGTTTAAATCAAAACAACATTTAAAATAAGTATAATTGAAGCTAAAGTTCTGCGCCACTAATAATTACAGGCTCGATGAAACTAATGTCCTAAATTCTGGGCTCCAAATGCATCATTTTGGGAAGTGCATGGGGGCCATACCAGAGAAGACCCTTTCTGGTGCACTAGACAGATGGAACATCTGGAAGTAGGAGGAAGGGACAATCCATTGGGGCTGGCTTGCAGCAGCCCATTTTTACATTTTCAGGAATATTGCAAGCCATCTGAAGCATGCCACCTTGTGTCCCGATAAACTGTTTGGCGGCTCACAGCACCACAGCTGCATTGGAGCCGGCAGGACCAAATACCGGTATTTTACATTTATCAGCACACCACTGGGGGAATCTTCCAGAAGCTTCCACAGCTGATTTAAGCTTCTTGGCAGGTTCAGAGTGAGAGAGACAATCCGGCAAATGGTTGAATGGTAAGCTGTTTAGGGCTTTAAAGGTCAGCATAAGCACCTTAACCTGTGCCCAATAGGCAACTGGTGATCATTTCAGATTTTTCAGTCTAGTAACATGTGATTTCTGCACCCTGTACTAGCAGCCTGGCTATTGCATTTTGCACCAATTTGCAGACAGTTTTTAAAGACAGTCTCATAGTTTAATAATGTTTTCATATATGAACAGTCCACGCCTAATAGTTAATGGTGTGACTAATGCAATCAGGAGGATTCGGAGGAACTTTTGGGTCACCATTTAGAGGAATGAGCAGGAATGTCTAAATACTGCAGGACAAGTTTAGCACTATACTTTACTATTTTAAAAGCATACCTGATTGTCTTAAGCTATGAAGTTTAACTAATTAATTATCCCAGATGTTAAGTAATCCCTAAATTCAATGCAGTTTTGGAATGAATTAGGAGGTAATTGAATCTCACTATTGCCTATTGAAAAGATTTTTGTAAGCCATCGGCAACATGCAGTTACAAATATTTAAACAGTATTATTAGCATGTATTAAATTGGGAGATGCTGTGTGTGTGTGTGTCCAATTGTTGAACCAGGCTGGGAACAGATGTCCTGAAAATAAATCTATGTGATGACAAAGAGTTGATAGTGACATGGTGACGTTATATAAGATATTAAGTAAAATAATCTGGAAAAGGAGGGAATCAAAGGAGTGTACTACTTTTGCACCCCCGCACACACTCAACTTTTTCCAACTAATCTAAACACTATTTTAAACTACTTAGGAGACTTGCTTCAAAGTGTCTATCAAAATCTGTTGTGCTCTAAAGATGTGAAAAAGGGCTAGAAATTTCATTGATTTTTTTCCTCCATAAGAAACCTAGATGACAAGATGTTTACTGAGGGACAATGAAATTCCCAGAGCCTGTAGCTTCTTCAAATTTAGCTATTTCCTCAAATTAAAATAAATTTCTATCCCTTTTGATTTTTACTATAGTTCTTTTCTACTGGACTAATGATTCTGTCATATTATGATTGGCACCTCTGTGTTTGACTCAGTGGTGGGTTTCAAAAAAATTTAGAACCTCTTCTGTAGGTGTAGCCTGCTTTGTGGGAGTGGCTTGCCGGCCAAGTGTCCAGATGGGAGTGGCTTGCTGGCCATGTGACCGAGTGGGAGTGGCTTGGCAGTCAAGTGACTGGGTGGACATGGCCAACTTGTAAAATGTGATGAAACTCACTTAACAACACTCTTGCTTAGCAACTAAAATGTTGCCTCAGAAACTCGCATTTGAAGCACGCAAGCTGTCAAGTTACAAGACCCTTGCACCCCTAACCCTTCAGAAAAAAAACTCCAGGGATGTTCAAACTTGACAGCTTTAAAACTTTAAGGTTTAGATAGGACTCTTAGAGGTGGGCGAGCCAGTCAATCAATCAGTGAGCGGCAGGCAGGACAAGCGTGGTGCGGACGGGCGGGGGGAGGGAGCTGGAACCGGTTCTAAACAGCATGGTAAATTTGTGGAACCTCTTCTATAGACGAGGTTAGGATGGGCAGGAACCTACCCTGGTTTAACTCCTTTAAATCTGCAATTCCATAAAAAACTAAATCACACTCTTTGCATAATTATATTGGGTTGCGTAATAATAAGTAAGCTTGAATCCAATAGCTTCTTTGTTTTTATTTAGTTTTTCGTGTTTAAAGTTTAAAACAGATTTTATTATGTATCTGATCTGCAAATTCTGGTTTTGATACTGGTTTCATTTGGTGTTCAGACCTGAACATAAAGAAATAAAGCAAAGAATAAGAAGACTTTTAATATTATTTCTTATATAAACAAGCAATAGAGATGGAAGGAAGTATTTAGGCTCATGAGTTCAATTCTCTGTTGAAGTGCAGGAGTCTAAATTAAAGTATCAGAGGATTTCCTAGGCTCTATTTGAATCGTCCATTGAATGAAGGAGAGCTCACAATCTCTCTAGGTAATTGTTCTAACAGGAATTTAGGTAATGTTTGTTCCCAAGAATCAAAATGTTCCTGTGGTACCAAATTAGCTCTCTTGAGGATAAAACAAGACTCATGGGATCTACCAGTTTAACTCAGATGGGCCAGCAGGGCAAAGGAGAAGGAGAAACGAGAAACCTATGGAGGCTTGAATTGCAGCAGGGAAGACAAAACCTCAAAAAGCCACATCTAAAGTGTGATGTACCCTTGCACTGATCCATGGCATTTCTGCATTAATGTCTCTATATGATATAAACATCGCTTTGATCTTCAAGAATATTTGACCCTAAAATTGTATGAAGCTGTGAACTTGAATAACCTGAACTGAGTTACTTTCTTCATAGATTTCTTTTCATACAACAGAGAGAAAATGCAAGTTTGAGTCACCAGTTACAGATGTCTGAGCGAGATAGTGGTTTGGGCACTTTACTCAAATTCTTATCTCCTTAGGTTTTGCCATGAAACTCTGTCACCCTTTCTATCCACTCCATTGTGCTGTAGCACTGAAGACATTTTTTTCACGTTCCCAGCTCTTATCATACTCTCCACATTCTTCAGGCTTGCTATGTTTCACAAAGTAGCTTTTCCTGCCTTGAATGGATAGACTTGCATACCTATACAGGTTTCTTGGAATAAATTTTCCTTGAACCAGGGAGAAGGTGGGCTAATTCCTGCCTCCTTTTTATTCCTGGCAGTACCACCTGGACTCTAGTAGGCTTGGCTTGGCACGTGACTAGTGCAATGGTGTGGAAGGCAATTGCTTTCCATCTGTGTCCTGAATGGCAGCTGTGCCCCTGTGCGTGTTCAGTGCCCTGAAGACTTCATGCTCTGAGCATTAGCTATGCTCTTTTCAGCCATGTGCAATTCGGGGGGACTGTTCCTGCTTCAGATGGAAGAAATGGACAGAAAAACCCAGAAATAGTGAAGCAAATATAGTGCCTGTTCACCCAAACTCTGTGTTCTTTCCCAGTCCTGCTGATATGACTCATTTTACCATCTTTGGGCATATGCTGAATGTAGATTGTATAACTACAGTATGTGTCAGTGTGTGTGTGCGTGCGCGTGCGTGCATGTGTGTTTATAGTGTATGTTTGTGATATAACCACATATATACACAGTAAAAAGAAATGACCTTTACAAGTTAATCAAACTGGGTTTATTGGTGGTTACTGCAAATGGCCTCGAGAAGCATAATTGGGCATAATTGCTTCTCACTGAAGATTCAGAGGCAATTCATCCTGGTTACTTTTTCCTTTTTAATTGTTTTCTCTAAGTTCTGTCCTTTTCTTCTCCACAGCTTGCTGTCTCCTTGGTCTGATTTGTCCTGCCATATGATTTGAGGTCTCTGCTTATCCTGGAAGTGTAGCCAGCGAGACGGGATAGCAGGCAAGTGGGTGCCCACATCTTGGCCCAGAACCATGGCAGAAAAATGCAGTGAGGGGTTACTGGTGAGTCTGGGGATCCCTTGTGGATTCTGCAATACTGTGCTTGAGGTGTTGGTATTAAAAAAAATAAGAGAGGGTGCTCTTGGAAACTGGGGGAGTCCATAGGATTGGATGGAAGAAGTGTCTCTTTCAGACTTTTGGCTACTGTTTAAAACAGTGGTCACCAAGCAGTGGTCCACGGACCACTGGTGGTCCATGAGAAAATTTTGGTGGTCTGCAGAAAAATTATTTGCATTTTTATATTCCACTAAATACTATTTATCTTTTTAAAAAATCATATTAGTGGTCCGCAGGATTTAAAATTATGAATTTAGTGGTCCCTGAGGTCCGAAAGGTTGGTGATCCCTGGTTTAAAACATCCAGCCCTTTGTGTTCCTCACCATCCCCACTTGAATGATTTGGGGACTGGCTGTCTATTGCATTGGGCCTGGAGCTGCATGCTATACATGAAGGAGCTCTCTGCTAATCACCATTCCCCACCTTCGGTTACCTCCTCTTATCAGGATAGTCCCAGAACAAGAAGCAGGATGGGTGGGAAGCTTTCTAGGCCTAATCACCAGAATTTAACCTGAGTATGAAGCTGACTAGGGGAAGCAATGAGGTACAAAACCTATATTGAACAAAGATCTAATTTATTCAGGAGACTAACTGCGACAGTATTAGAGTCTATATTAAGTAGTGTATTTTTCGGAGTATAAGACGCACCAGAGTATAAAAGATTTTGAAGAGACAAATTTTAAAAAAGGTTTTTGAACTCTGCAGACCTCCCAAAACCAGCTTGTTTTTGTAAAAATGGGCCCGTTTTTGCCAAAAAAAGGGCATGCATAGCATTTAGGAGGCTTATAGAGTACTCCTGGGGGCTAGGGGCCCAAAAATGAGCAAAAAATGGCCTGGTTTTCATGAAAATGAGCCCATTTTTTGTCAAAAAATGGCATACCTAGCCTTTAGGAGTACTCCTGGGGGATGGGGGGGGTAAAAATGAGCAAAAAACAACCCATTTTCTGCTCATTTCTGCCCTCCCCAGCCCCCAGGAGCACTCTGGAAGCCTCATAAATGCTATGCACAGCCATTTTGGTGAAGGGGTGGGGTTTCGGGAAGCCAAAAATGCTGTATTCAGTGTATAAGATACACCCAGATTTTCACCCTCTTTTTTGAGGGTAAAAGGTGCGTCTTATACTCTGAAAAATATGGTAGTTACTTAGCAAATCAGGCTCGGTGCTGGGATATAGCCGGACTAGATTATGGTCTGTTAAAGAATTCACATTTTTCATGAGACTAGAAAATAGGACCCTTACTTTGCTTCTTTAATGTCCCTTGATTATGATTCCTGTCCCAAATAGTGTAGACAGAAGAATGCAGGAAGTGCCTTCTCCAGGCATTACTTCTTCAGAGGTAATGTTACTTCCTCTGAAGTGCTGTAAAGTCACCAAGCATTGCCCAGGAAACAGTCAGTGTCCAGCAGGTGGGAAAAGTTTGGCTCCAGTATGTTGCTATTTGTTTGTGGTTTGGGTTTCTACATTGACAAAGAATGGGGCTCCCAGGAGACGCCTGAAATAGCTTGCACCTCAGCCAGAGGCACCGTGCCAGTGTCAGTACTGGAACATGTGGGGGAAGGGACTCAGATAGCTACAAGACATATTTATGTATATATAAGCACACACATAATTGCCAACATAAAGAACACAGACTCTATTCTGCAATGTTTCACAAGCATTGTTCATTTCTCTGAACGCATTTTTGTGTATTTTATGCTTTATCTTCAAGTTGTCTGAGCAGCATCATATATTATGCAAATATGATTTGCATTCATATTTACTTGCAAGCGATACAGTAATATGCACCACTCGCCCACCCACACCCAGACACTTCTCTGCCCACTTTTATCAATTCAGAGGGATATGCATAGAAGAACTGGCCCGTATCCTCCCTATTCAGTTTTGATTGCTAGGCAGTAACACTGATCAGCCAGCATTAATCCATTTGAAAAAATAGACATAAGAAAGTGCTTGTCTTTTGCTGGTCTGTGTTGTATTGGCTTGATTCCAGGCTGCAAAGTCTGTGTGTGAAAGCAGTTGGCTGCTTTGAACTGTTCACACTGCTGTCGAAAGTCTTCTAGCAGAGATTTACAAATGTTTGTGCTTATCTACCCCTATTATAATACATTGCATTTCTTCCTGTGTGCATGATGAACATATTTGCCTTCTTCCTTTTATGCTATTTTGTCTGTTATTGTCTAGTGCTCATGAGCTCTTTTGGGGTAGTAGTGTACACCCCGGGACAGAAATGAAGTGGATAGGCTAGAACACCGAACAAGCCCATGTTGCTTAGGCAGCAGCTGCTTTGGGAATGCTGCTGTTAAGGACATAATTGTCACTGTCTGTACTTTCTGCACATTATTTTCTTTGACCGCACTACTTATAGTTCTTTGTCCTAGCCATGTATACATGTTTCCCAAAGTGGCAGCCTAAACGGGCTTCTATATGAGCAGAAGATCTGCATGCTCTTTCTCAAGAAAGGGCTAGTCAGCCAGTTGATTGCCTTATCTGAACATGTTTTGAGCAGGACTCTCCAAATCTGCAGCAGATTTTGCTTGCCTATATAGGCAAGCAACACAACAAGCTTAGAGTCCCTCAGAGTAACACTTACATTATCGGTGATATTCCTTAGATAATCTGCTCCATGTAGTGAGCTGGAAGGCAGCAAGTGAAGGCTTGGCTCTGATTCGCTTCCCATCTCTCTCTACTGTCAGAAGTAGCTGCTTCATTGTATGCAGCAGCAAGGGAAAATGCATCTCAGAATAGCACTTAGCCTGTTGGAAAAAGTGGCTGTGGGCCATGAAAGTTTAGTATAATATTTAAGACAGAGCTGGACAGGTTGTAGTCCATAAGCCACGTGTAGCCATTTTCAGCTTTTGTTACCGTCTCTTTGATGAGTCTGCTTCCTGGAATCACATTACAATACACTGTACATAACACACTTGATGGCGAAGAACCAAACCATAACCATGAGATTTAACAACAAATTTTTAGCAAAAGCAAAAGAAGGTGAAACACTGATGTAACACCTAGATGACAAAAAAGTTAAACCTGAAAATGTGCAGCAGGAACAAAAATCCACTTGAAGACATCACTATATCATAGCTCTGTCTCTCTGCAGTTCTCAACCATTGAAGAAAGTAACAAACAACAAACAAACAAAAATGTAGCCCCTGATTTAAAATAATGCGACAACGCTGTTTCATTGTTTTAAGCCTATTCTAATCAATTTCTAATTCAGTTTGGGAATCACATACTGTTTTGGGGAAAAGGATATTGAAGAGATCACTAGGAGAGCATTCTTACCTATACAGCCTGCACCTGGCATGAAAACCTTTAATTGGTCCCATACATCATGTGTGAATGGATCACTGGGACAGCCATCAACAGCTTTCTGGGCCACAGGGAAGATGCTAATCCCCTCACTCTGCTGCCTGGGCATTCTTGGAATAGCATCATAAGCCCATCATCCACTAATAACCTAGGGCAAGATAAATTCAGCATCTTATAGCCTATTGCTGTTAGGTTGCTGTTTGTGAGATACATAGCCTTATCAATTGGTTTAATAAATAAATTAAATAATTTCCTTAGAAATCCTTCCCTTTAGGGATTGGCCATTATTGTTAATTCCTTTTTTAAAAATAATTTTTTATTAGCAAACATGTAAAATACACACACACAAAACCTAGATGTACACCACATTTACACAATACAATACAAACAGGAGCTTCCTGTTCCTTCTAATAGCAATTATCAATCGATACCGCTCACCTTATATTATTTCCCCTTCTATTGTATTTCATTTGGATTTCACCATTCTTAACCCTCTTATTTTACTCATAGCTATTATTTTTTGAGTTTTGTTATATTCCTTCATTGATTCTTGTTTCTTTCCTCTTTCCTATTGTTAATTCCTTATGAGTATCTCTTTCTTTTGAGTATCATTTTTCTTGTAATTTTAAATAAACAAGTCCTAGGAAAATATGTTTCAGTGTGAAAAACCATAGAAAATTTTCTCAACAGAGAAGACTACTGTGTGCTCAGACGTGCGTAAAAGCTTTTTTTATCCCTTTTGATACATTTTCAACTCCTATTGACTTTCTTATGGAATTATTTCATTACAACTCAGTTTGGCCCAGTTGTGACTTGGATTTTGTTCTAAAAGTAAATTTTTTAGTAATCCAAACCCTTTTCAGTAATTCTTCAGTATCTGGATCTTATTAAAACGAATGCTTGACCGAAGGCCCCATTCTAATATTTGAACATGGACAATGCAGTATAAGATAAATATGAAACTGTGAGTGGGTGCAACATTTTGCTTTGATTTCTGCATTTTATTATACGTATTCACACATCAAGAAATTCACTTCCTAATTAAGTGAACTGCAGCATTTAGACCAGCACACGATGCAGCCCCTTTGCTTGACGTTGGTTTTGTCAGGGAGCATAATGGACAAACATCATAGAGATTATTAATAGTCGTGTTGGGAAATGGAGTTAGATACAGAATAACACTCAGCTTTGGGTAACTATTTTAAGCTTATATTGCCTTTTTCAACTAAATGTTCTCTAAGATGTTGTAGGACTGCTGTTGGGAATTCTACAGTCACAGTTCCCATATCATGTATATGGGAAGATCCCAGTTTGGTAAGCTGTTCTGTTGTTTTTTGGGGGAAAGAATGTTTAGTGTCACTCAACAACCCTGGGGATGGGGCTCTTTTTTTGTTAAAGAGCTATAATGATACAGACCGAATATCAGAGGTGGTATTCAGCAGATTCTGACCAGTTCTGGAGAACCGGTAGCGGAAATTTTGAGTAGTTCAGAGAACTGGTAAATACTGCCTCTGACTGCCCCCCCCCCCAATCTATTCTCTGTCTCCCGAGTCCCAGCTGATGAGGAGGGAATGGGGATTTTGCAGTATCTTTCCACTGTAATGGGGTGGGAATTTTACAGTATGCTTACCCTGT